AAAAGTGTAGGTGCGCTTTCCATATGCCCGATGCGCCTGAAGGCGTGAAAAGGGATCTTTACTAGTAAGTATCATAGCGGTTGATGTTACTTTGACTGCATCATGTCACTGCTGCTTCTGGTCAGTCTGCCTGCTATTGCATTGCCTTCCAAACCAAGAATACATATAATTCGCTGGAAGGCAGATTGTTTTAGTGAAGAGCCTGTGTGAATAAGCTGTTCTGTTAAGTCTGCAAACTGCGTTTCTTTTAGGTCAGCGGTTCTAAAACCTTTTTCGCCACAGCACCCTTGTGTCGTGGAGTGAACAGCCAACCCTACACTGTGGACTAGTCGTGAAGCTGACATCCCTAGCGGGCCCGTCACATTTCAAATTAAAACCCGTCCGGGAGGTATATAGTCCCTCATATTGATATATACCTCTATCTGGTGAAATAAACATTTCTATACCCTCTAGTTGTTTTGAGAAGTCTTCATTTTCAAACTTGCAACTGTGGGATATATATTTCTTGAATATTATTCAGAAATTCCTGTAAGCCGTTTTACTACTTCAGCACGAAGACATGACTTCTTTTCTAGAGACCCCAAGCGGAGTCTTGGGAGGGCATTCTTTTGCCAGACCTCTGAGGTGTCAGGAGACGTTTTAATTTTCTAATTAAACTTTGGCGCTTTCAAAGTACCAGTTTACTATTTGAAGGATTCCTAAGCTTGGGATGCTATCTCCTTAAAGGTCAGGCAGACGATTCACAATCAAACTAACAATCACCAACCAATACCATTCCTATCCCCAAAACCCTACCTATTGTTGCCAGAACTTCAACATGGCAGGAGCTTGTGTGTGAGTTCCAGTGGCTGAGTGACAGTATTGCAGGAAACCTGTGTCATCAATCCAAGGAATCATTCTTCAGGAGCTTGTGTGTGAGTTCCAGTGGCTGAGAGACAGTATTGCAGGCCACTTGTGTCATCAATCCAAGGAATCCTTCTTCAGGAGCTTTGTTGGACTCCAGTGCAGTTCCTTTGTCCTCATATGTGAGACGATCAGTGGTTACCAGATCAACCAGAGAAAAAGCAATCTATTTAGTCAGCCGGTTCAAATCACCATGGACTGAGGGGAGCAGTGACCTACCCGATTGGACAAGTACATCTGAGATGACATACATGCTCTCTTTCCATGGCTACCTATAATTCACAGTGATGAGTCATGTACTCTTTTGAAAACTTAATCTGGCTGTTTCAACATCATCGCTGTGACGTTAAGTCCTGAACTCCTTTCACTTGAAGCCATCTTGATTGTCTTTATATATATATATATATATATATATATATATATATATATATATATATATATATATATATGTGTGTGTGTGTGTGTGTGTGTGTGTGTGTGTGTGTGTGTTGAAATATTACATCTTTTCAGAAATTTTCATGGCTGACTTGGGTGTCCCTGTTTCACCATTCTAACTGTCGAGTTTTTATGTTTGTGTGATTAGTAAGTGTAATCTGTGTTAACATGGTTATGATAGTGTACTATCATAACCTGGGTGCTATCTTTTTATAGTAGTGGGGGTGTCCAGCCAAGTGTGCCTAGGAATATTAGATATTCTGTAGTGCCAGTGCTTGAGTTGCCCTACTCCTGAAATAAGTTTGGCGTACATTGGCCACGGGATCTCCCTTAGACCAATACGAGCCACACAGCCAACGCCTCAACATTATTATTTCAGAGTGCTGTTGGTTCTTAAGGAGAAATCCTTAAATCAGGCACGCGACACGAGCGGTATGTGACACCTTGTCGGGAAAATATTTTTTTGCGGCACACCTACACTTAAATCGGTTTGAATACTTAGGAAAAGAAGAAAAAACAATTCCCATTCAGTTGTCTTTAATGCGATGAATGAAACTGATAATTTTACCCTCAAATCCCTTGAAAGTTTGATCCTGTATCGTTTTTTTTTTAAATGTCAGAGCACGCTGAGAATGAACTGCATCCTTGCCAATAGCATTGGCTTCCTTCACGGTATTTCTGTTTTAATTTGCTGCCTTTTCTGATCGCAGATTTTGAAAAATTCTTGATTATTGCCGCGACACCCCTGACATACGCTCACGACAGCCCTGGGTACCGCAGCACCCAGTTTGAGAACAGCTGTGTTAGGGTAACCATTGCTTGCAGAACCGACTTAGCATCGGTCAGAAAGAACAATTTGTTGAATGTTGAGGGAAACTGATGCATGTTGCGACCACTGGAAAGATCTATGGGAAAAGAGACAGAGGAAGACAGCGCGAGAAGATTCTGGACAGTTCTTTATCGTGGCATCAGTGATGCCACTTTTGATGTTTTACATCCAGATTTAGATGTTTTCCCTTGCATTTAGATGGTGTTTTTGACGTTTAGATGATAGATGTTTTTCATTTAGAGTTATATATTTTATATATTTTTTTCTTTCAGTGTCAGTTTAATAATTACTGTGTAAAATATTTACTACAATATTTTTGTTTTCATCTGGCACGTACATTGTGAGAATTGCGATTTTACTTTAACTCTGAACTCTCACTGGGATTAACGCTAAAATATCTGGCAGCCCCTGTACTGATTAACTGAAAGCGCGCGTAAATCATGATAACTTAGTTTCAACCGTATCCTTACTGTGCTGACTTTGTGTTTCTTTTTCATGTGAATTAAAAAAAAAAAAATAATTGCTCCCCTTCATATGTGGCTTTCACTTTGAAGAAACATTTCAGCATGGCAAAGGTAAAGTTTGAGCAACAATTTAGGAAAGAGTGGTTGCATAATGGCAAAATTAAAGACTGGGTGATGGCAGTTCTTGGGGATATCATATCCCCGATATGATCAAGGCTCGTTGTAAGTAATGCAAATGTGAAATAAAAGCGAAAATACAAGACAAACAGTCATACAGAGACTAAAAAGCATAAGACTGCAGTTCCATTCAAAGATATTACACCGCTGCCATCTGTTTTCAAAACTAAACTGATAACTGAATCATCAAAAGTTGAACGATCGGTTGAAATGTTTTTAAGTTGTCACTGTGCAATTTCAAACGGTGACCATTTGATTGATTTGTTTAAAAACATTATTTATGACAGTAAAGTTATGGATGATATGAAAATGCATCGCAGCAAGTGTACACATGTTATAAAAAATTCCTTATTTTCTCACTTCGAAAAAAGATTTGATCAGTCATATTTCTACAAATAAATATAGTTTATTATTAGACGAATCAAATGATATTTCGGTACTGAAAGGGCTTGGTGTGTGTATTTTATGTATTACAGCAACAATACAGACAAAGTATTTCTACATATCTTGGACTAATTCAATTGGAAAAGTGTGATGCAGAAAGTATAGTTCGGGAACTGAAGAAACTTTTAATCAGCAAACAGTTAGACATGAAGAATTTCGCTGCAATTGGTACCGACAATGCCTCGGTGATGGTTGGTATAAACAATGGCGTTTATGTCAAGTTGAAGGAGCTATCCCACCGTTAATCCTTACAAAATGTATGTGTCATTCATTGCAGCTAGCATTATCACATGCTTCATCTGAATGTTTACCAAGGAATTTGAAATCCCTTATTGCCGAAACACATAACTGGTTTTCCAAAATATTTGTCAGACAACAGCACTACAATACATTATATACAGCCTTGAATGATGGTTCCACACCACTGAAAATTCTGTCAGATTGCAAAACTAGACTGTTATCAATTCAACCAGCTGTTGACAGAATTGTGAACCAAAGGTTGGAGTTGAAGACACACTTTGAAATAACAAGACAAAGTGAAAAGTGCTACACAGCTGAAATACTTTATGGAATGTACAGTGATGAAAAAAATGTGTCATTCCTTCTCTTTTTACCACCAGTTCTAACGGAAGTTCAAAAAGTTAATAAACTTCGAATCTAAACATGTTGAAAAAGTTAAATTACCTGACGATTTCACATTGCTATTTAACTCAGTTGGTAAAAGACTGGTGTTGCCAACTTCTAAAGCTGATTTGCTCACTTGCACTATAGAGAGCTATTTGGCTCCAAATCATACCTTGGATATCAAATCGAATCAAAAATTGATGATTTAAAAACAAAAGGATTGTTAACAGAGAAGGAAGAAAACAACTTAGAAAACGCTGTCAAGATTTCCTTATCTCATTATTGAAGCAGAGACTTCCTGAAAATCTAGATGTATTGAAAAATATTACACTCTTTCCTGTGAGCAACATACTTCAGCCGGTAAAGGGCATACCTAAATATTGTAAAGTTATGAAATTTTTAGGGGCTACTGATAATAGTGTCACGGAAGCAGAATATCAGTTAACCAAAATAAACTTAGCTGAATGGACAAACAAAACAGAAACAGAAGCGTTTTGGAATGAAGTTTGACAGTTTAAAGATGTTTCTTCAAACAGTCACACACGACGATGAACTTTGACCCGATCCAAGACGTTTTGTTACTGATTGTACTGTAGTACAACTCTCACACCAGTTCTCAATGTGCTTCTGAGAAAGTCTGTTGTTTTCTTACCAGCAACGATCACAGATGTTATTGTTTACTTTAAATGGTTTTAAAGAGTTTAAAAGCACTTGCACGGACACATGTATTAAAATAAATACCAAATACACTAGTTATTTATTAAACAATGATTGGATAGTGTCGATTTTAGTTTCATTTGGGAATCATTTGTTAATTTCGGACATTGAAACATTGTTGGGGTCTTCTTTGACTGTTGAGTTGACCTTAAAAAAAAAACACTTAAAAGGTGCAGTCAATGATTCCAAATAAGACACGATATTGGCATTGCAGTCAGATACAACAAATAATTAAGAGTCATTCCGGAGTGACTGAGTTGCTGAATAAATAATTACTTTAACAAAACCATTCAACAAAACTATTAGTTGTAGTAAACTCTAAGTAATTGTTATCACTTGTGTGTTGTGTAAAACTAAGTTACATATGTGTCAGCTTCCACGTGGTTTCTGTATCATCTGAGATTGTGATGTGCATTGTATTCTTCTGTCAAATTGAGATATGCCACCCAGGGGGTTACCAGCTGATCTTGGCAAATAACAGAGATGAGTCTTGGCACCGGCCCACAGAAGAAGCCCACTTTTGGGGGGATCATAAAACATGTATAAGTGGTGAGTGGAGGTCTTTGCATCTAGATATGTAGTCCGTAGTATATTATGGCTGTTAACCCTTTCATTAGCAGAAGGTGGAGGTAAAGGTGGTAACTGCAGCTCTTTGGTGGCTAGAGAACAAGATGCAAACACATGTAGTAAATGTAACAGACCTTGAAAGTAGGTTGAGAAAAGTGAAGACAAGTGGCAAGCTTCACTGGGAAGGTCACAGGTAGTGAGCATACTTTGTGAATCTTTTCTCCAGGTTATGCTGGCGTAGTGGGTAATGAAGAGGCAGACAGACTGGCTGGATCTGCACCACTGGGTGGGGAGTTGATACATGACAAGGCAGATGTGGTCAAGGCCCTTTGGGAACAAGCAACGAACTCAGTAGAGAAACAAGATTATTATTATGGCCTGGAGAGAATAAGCCATTCGGGTAACCAAAGGGTCTGGTCGGCTCACTACACTCAGAGGAAAGGCAAGACAGACATATAACCAGATTGTGACTGGTACCTTCAGTATTGGAACTCTGCACTGGCTGTTCAAGATGGGGACTCAATTTTTGACTCAACTCAACTCAGTAGCATAAGTCCCTGTGTGGGTTTCAAGGTCTCATTGTGAGGGAAGAACAGAGTAGATCCACTGCCTCACTACCTAGCATGTCATAAGGGTCGACTAATTCGTGGTTTTCTTCAATGTTGGAGTGCTTCTCTCTGATAGGCAAGGAACCAGCAGTCTGCATACAATTAAAGCCAGATCTGTAAAATGGATGCATTCAAGTTCTGGGTCAAGACTAACTTCCAGAAGTGAACGATCAACCAGAACTTTCTGCTTGAGTTTACAGCTGGTGAAAGCGAAGAAGAAGAATGGTATCAGAAGATATCACAGGAGATGGCAAAGTGAAGAAGTATTCTTCTCAGGCATCTCATCTCATTTGTTAATAATTGTTCTTTCCTCTTTTTTTCTTTCATGCTATAAAATCATCACTGACTCAAAATTAAAGTTGAGAGGATTGACTTCTTTGCACAGAGTTGTATCCCCGGTGGCTCAATCTCTCTCCATAAAATGGCTAAACGTTTGCCGAGAACATCACACAAAGCACAAACTCCATAGTTCCAGTGACAGTCCAAGGAGTCTCGGTGAAAATAACCTTCATTGAGCCAAATGATGTAGCCATGAAATGAATCCATGACCTATATTTTCACCATGGAGAACCCTATCTTCTTCTTCTTCTTTGCTTTCACCAGCTGTAAACTCTGGCAGAAAGTTCTGGTTGTTCATCCACATTTGGACTGCAGTCCTGTTCCAGAACCATGGTGTTGCATGTGCATCCATTTTACAGATCTGACTCTTTTGTATGCAGACTGCTGGTTCCTTGCCTCTCAGGCAGATGCACTCCGACGTTGAAGGAAACACCACTAATAAGTCTACTTTTACGACATGCTCCTTAGGAGGGGTAGTGACTCTATTATACCTCGCATGAGACTTTAGAACCCACATGGGAAACTGGAAAGATTGATTTTGTTAGCAACAGAGGAGCAACACAGGTTTATTGAACTCCATGATCATACAACTCTATGATCATACAACTCTATGATCATACAACTCTATGATCATACAACTCTGTGATCACTGAACTATGTTGGTGCTCCTGTTTTCTGTTTCAAGAAAATATGTAGCTATAATTTCACATTGTCAATATTACAGTTGCCGTTTCTTTGCTAGTATTAACATGTGTATGTGTGAGAGTTCAGTTTGTGGAAGTCGAGGCAGGGGTCGACCACTGCGAAGATGGATACAAGACATTAAAGATGCTTGGCATTTAAAGCACATGGGACGGAGAGCTGTCTAGGGAAATGGATACTTTCAGGTGTGCTGTGAAGAGAGCGACGTTCTGTAAAGGACTTTCTGATTGATGATGATGATGTGTAAGAGGGAGGGGGAGACGGAGAAAGAGAATAAAGCCGGTGACGAACATGCATTGACTGTGACTTCTGGCTCTTCATCCATTTCTGGACTGTAGTCTTGTTCCAGAACATGAGTTTTGCGTGCACGTCCATTTTTCAGATCTGGCTTATTTGTATGTATTCTGTGGGTTCCTTGCCTCCCAGGCAGATGCACTCTGACCTTTAATTAGTCACCTTCATAGTACAACCAAATAGTATGTATGTTTGTGTGTAAGTTGTACCCCACCAGTACATCACACAAGGGATAAACATCCGGTGACACAAAGTGCCACCATGGGGAAGAGGATCACCCGTGGAAAGGTCCCAGAAACCCTGTTCAGCCGTTAGGCAATATTTAGGGCCCTCGGCAAAAACCAGGGTGGGGCTTCAAAATAACTAAAAATTGCAACCCACATGGGGATGATGAGATTGTTATCACCAAATAGTCACCTAACCCACTAAGAAACTCAGACATTAATGCGAGGAATTCTAGAAGTAGAGAAAAGAAGAAGTATCTATGAAAGGTAGCTGGATACACACACCAGATTCTCTCATCAAGACTCACTTCATCGCTTCTAGAGAGGGACAGTGTTTAATATTCAGACTAAGGACAAGGCACAACCATACTTCACCAACAAATGTTCAAATAGTTTGGTGTAGGAAACACAGAGATGTGTCCCAGCATCTTGGCACCAGAAAATGCTGAGCATGTTCTCCAACACTGTCGTCAACTGTATGCTGCCAACAGAGACGCATTCTGGCCTTTTCCAAACACAATGAAGACAAAACTGTATGGTACCTGGAAAGATGAGGACTGCTCAATAACTTTCATAAAGGCTACCAGCCTCCTGATATAGGTTTTCTGACAGGAGGATTGAAGAAGAAGTCACCTTCTATGACATGCTTGCTAGAGAGCCAGTAAACATAGACAGTGTTCTGTGTTTGTGAGAGAGAAGAGAGATATAGAGGGATGACAAGGGGAATAGAGAGAAGAGAGATATAGAGGGATGAAAAGGGGAATAGAAGAGAGATATAGAGGGATGAAAAGGGGAATAGAGAGAAGAGAGATATAGAGGGATGACAAGGGGAATAGAGAGAAGAGAGATATAGAGGGATGACAAGGGGAATAGAAGAGAGATATAGAGGGATGACAAGGGGAATAGAGAGAAGAGAGATATAGAGGGATGACAAGGGGAATAGAGAGAAGAGAGATATAGAGGGATGACAAGGGGAATAGAGAGAAGAGAGATATAGAGGGATGAAAAGGGGAATAGAAGAGAGATATAGAGGGATGACAAGGGGAATAGAAGAGAGATATAGAGGGATGACAAGGGGAATAGAGAGAAGAGAGATATAGAGGGATGACAAGGGGAATAGAGAGAAGAGAGATATAGAGGGATGACAAGGGGAATAGAGAGAAGAGAGATATAGAGGGATGAAAAGGGGAATAGAAGAGAGATATAGAGGGATGACAAGGGGAATAGAAGAGAGATATAGAGGGGTGACAAGGGGAATAGAAGAGAGATATAGAGGGATGACAAGGGGAATAGAAGAGAGATATAGAGGGATGAAAAGGGGAATAGAGAGAAGAGAGATATAGAAAGATGAAAAGGGGAATAGAAGAGAGATATAGAGGGATGACAAGGGGAATAGAAGAGAGATATAGAGGGATGACAAGGGGAATAGAAGAGAGATATAGAGGGATGACAAGGGGAATAGAAGAGAGATATAGAGGGATGAAAAGGGGAATAGAGAGAAGAGAGATATAGAGGGATGAAAAGGGGAATAGAAGAGAGATATAGAGGGATGACAAGGGGAATAGAAGAGAGATATAGAGGGATGACAAGGGGAATAGAAGAGAGATATAGAGGGATGAAAAGGGGAATAGAGAGAAGAGAGATATAGAGGGATGACAAGGGGAATAGAGAGAAGAGAGATATAGAGGGATGACAAGGGGAATAGAGAGAAGAGAGATATAGAGGGATGAAAAGGGGAATAGAAGAGAGATATAGAGGGATGACAAGGGGAATAGAGAGAAGAGAGATATAGAGGGATGAAAAGGGGAATAGAGAGAAGAGAGATATAGAGGGATGAAAAGGGGAATAGAGAGAAGAGAGATATAGAGGGATGAAAAGGGGAATAGAGAGAAGAGAGATATAGAGGGATGAAAAGGGGAATAGAGAGAAGAGAGATACAGAGGGATGAAAAGGGGAATAGAGAGAAGTTGCAAAGAATAAAGATAGATAGAACAAAAAGAGAACACAATAAGGAAGAGAAAGGAGGGAGGACAGAGAAGAGTTTTATTGGTAAAAATCTGTCAGCTTTGAAACTGAAGAATGCTGAATAATTTTTCTCTGTAGGTCTGGATCGAGAACCTGGGCGAGGTGGTGGTACCTGGCTAGGAATGAACAAATCTGGAAAGATTGGTGTATTGCTGAATATACTCAGTCAGACAGATCAAACTAAGATAGGTAGAGGTGAGCTAACTTCTTCTTCTTAAAATCCACTCCATGTGGTGTTGGTAGCTATGTCTGTCCACAACCTTTTGTCTTGTGTACTTTCATTCAACTCTGACACAGGTGATCCTCCATGCCATAATGTCAAACTGTCAAGAATCTTTTCTCTCGGTCTCCCGAAAACATCTGGTAATACGTGCAGCAGGAGAAAATCAACCCTGAGCCTCATGAACTCACTGAAAATGTCTAGGAGCTCGTGGGCCGAAACATTTGTCGACGAGAGATTACTTCTACTGATGGTTGGTAGACTTTTGCGATACATGCTCCCCTGTGGAGTTTCTTCTTATTCTTATATATGTGTGTGTGTGTTAAAAAAAAAAAAATTATTTCTGAGGGCCACTGGCACGACAAGGGTCTTTTACTTATTACTTACGTTACACATGCATGCAGACAAGCATGCACAGAAGAATACACAGCAGAAGAAGACAGGATCTTTTTTCCATATTCCAGCTAGGCGTCACAGGTCCACATTTCCTATTATCCCACGTGCACTATTTCTGCCTTTCAATACAAAGCCAGTGTATAGATAGATAATCACGTAACTTGGGTGAGAAATGTCCTGAATCAGTTGTTTAACGTTCCGCTTATGGGTTTCCGGGCCCCCATTGTGGGGAGGAAAAAATAGATCCACTGCCCCACCCATCTCCCCCCCCCCCCCACCCCCACACGGCAAGCATTTCATAAAAGTCTATTAATTAGGGGTGTTTCCTTCTAAGTTGCAATGCATCTACCTGAGACGCCGGGAACCAATAGTCTATCTGTATATAAGTTGTAAAATGCATGCCAAAACTCTGCATGTGGATTTGAACCCACAATCTCCAGATCCACTGTGGCTCAGCTCGTAAGGTTGTGGATCTTTTTCCTGCCAGTTGCAAAAGTAAAAATCCGAAATGTTACAGGTGAAGACCATACTAGCCAAGTGACCCTAAACCCTCAGCTCACCAACCCCCTGACCTACACTGTCCTAAAAAATGGTACTTTGTGTAATAAATACAGTTTATAAGGGCTTAATCATTTAGAAAGCAATGGCAAAATACTTGAAAATTTGTTTTTTTTTTAACTATCCAGAAACCATGAGTTGTTATTAACCCTTTTGTTCGGTACTATGGATATCGCAACCCTTCGGCCTTGATTCCATGATAGGCACCGTAAATCTGGGAAAAATATGGCTTTTTTGCCTACCACCGGGAGTGAACCCGGACCACAAGGAGTTCGTCACCCGGTCACCGCGATAGTCAGGTTTAACCAACTACGCTAGAGAGCAGGGCATGGCAAACTACTAAAATTGCCTAGTAAAAGCACACACCAACCAGTAAACGCTGAAATTGGTTTGTGAAGTCCTGAAAAGTATCTACTACTAACTTTTTTTTGTTTGTTTATATATATATGTGTGTATGTGTGTGGTTTCTTATAGGCCATCTGGTGACAGAGTATATAAGTGGGAATACTGCCATGAGTGACTACGCTGACAGGATCTTAGAAAACAGAGATAAATATAATGGGTTTAATTTACTTCTCTTTGATCTCGGGTGAGTAGTAGACATGTGTTCTGTTGAAATTGTCATTTAGTTCTGGACACTTCATGCTCACTTCTGAATTAATCCAGCCACATAAGCGAGTAACTGGGCTGAAGGAGACAGAGCACATGTGGCTGTGTCAAGATTAAAATGACCTCCTCCTCCTTAATTTAAAAAAAAAATTTAATTTTAAAATAAAATTTGAACCAGACAGACAGACAAAACTGAACCTAATAAAAGCTTATAAAAAAGTCATCGTCATCATCCTGTAGCAGGTTCTTACCTGTCACTCCCATCAGAGCCTGCCTAAAAAAAACACTCAGTCCCTCACCAGCCCTCATGCCTGATGCACTTTTCTACCTAAAGTGTTTCTTATGGTCTGTGGCCACCTTCATGCTGGTCGACCCCTGCCCCTCTTACCTGGTGCCTTTCTTGTCAGCGCTAGACCTATATTTTATTGACCAGTCAGCCCTCAGTGGGTGATGGGATCAATATCACGCTTCCTGCCTTTACTGCCCAGGACTTTACCTGGTACCTCTTAAAGACTGGGTTGACCTGGGAACCAAGGTCTCATTTTTGAAGAAAGTCAGACTCAGTTCGGATTTGAACCCATGGCCTTCGGATCCACAGGCAAGTATCTAGTGGCTACACACAGTGGCTCTCTGTTTACAGAACAGTTTAAATAAAATAAAAGTGCAGCACTGTAAGTTGTACAGGAAGATATCAGAATTTACAAATATGACTTACTTTTTATTGATTTTTTAAAATATTTTACATGGCAATTGTCTGAAACAAATAAGTCTAAAAAATATATGAGATCCTTCAGTGAAGGTCAACTCTAGAAGAAGATTTCAGAATTCACATTTCTTACTTAATCTCTTCTTTGTTTCTATATTTTGTCACATGTCATATTATTTTGTCACATGTCATATTATTTTGTCACATGTCATATCTGATAAGAACTTATTTTGGGGGCCAACTTTATGCTGCCAGTGTCAACATTGAACCCATCCTCAAATCAGTTAGTGCAGAATCATAACAACAGAGTTGAGTTGTTTTAGAAGAGTTGAGTTGAGTGGATTTAAGAACCGACATCACAGCACTTGGTGCATTCCCATAAGCGCTCCGCCCCCATCCTCAGCAGCCAGTGAAGAGTTCCAATACTAATGGTACCAGTAGCATTCTGATTAAACATCCATCTCACCTTTCCTCTGTGCCTCGAGCATTTGCCAGAACCTCTCGTCACACCCCGCTGCATCAATCTCACCAGACTGGTGATCCATCTGCTCATTCAAACTCTACACACTCTCTCACAAGGCACTAACCATGTCTGCCTTATCATGCATCAGTATTCCACCAAGTTGTGCAGAGCCAGCCAGTCTGTCTGCATGTTCATTTCCTAACACACTGGCGTCTCCCGGTGAAAAAATCCAGACATTGCTCCTCACCCGTGTCTTCCGCAGTGAAGCATGCCACTCTGCTTCCTCAGCATGCTTTCTGAGTCAGTTACAATGTTTGAGACAAGAGTTGTGTGTTCTTCTGTCTTTCTACTTCTTTCTATGAGTGCCGTTCACAATACTTTCTGTTACTTGATTAATTCATAAAATTTAACGGCCTCAAATGGTTCCCCCCCTCTGTTTATTTATAAGTTTTAAAAGAGCTGTTAAAGTAACAACCAGAAGAGAGAAATTTAATTAAAAAAGAAGAAATTAGAAACAAGGCCTGAAACCAGTCATACAGTTTTTTAAAGAGCAACAGATGAATTGTAATAAACAGATACACAAGAACTTATTGGCTCTTATAGAAAGAAGTAGAGAGATAAGAGGATAGACCATCAGATGAGATGGTTCAGCCATCTGATAAGAATTCCCTGGTCCCACATGCCACGCTAAAGAAATATAATAGACCCAGAACTAGGGGTAGACCACTCAGAAAGTGGAATTATGATATCAAGCACAACCTTAAGGAAATGAAGGCCAACTTATGTATGCATTAAATAGAATTGCACAAAATATCTTGACATCTCCTTCCACCACTTTGATGAAGCAGCTAGTACTTCCTAGTGTTCATCAGCTGTAAACTCTGATGGAAGGTCTGGTTGTTTGCCCACTCCTAGACTTTGGTCCTGATACAGTACTTGATTTTTGTGTGTACCAGTTTTACAGATTTGGCTTAGTATGCGGACTGTTGGTTCCTTGACTCTCAAGCAGATGCACTCTGACTTTGAAAAAAACACCCCTGATAAGTCGCCAGGTACAAAATGTTCATTAGGAGGCACTGAGTCCATTCTTTGTTCCCTGAAAACCAGAACCCGCACAGATAGATGAAGTAACTAGAGAAAGAGAAGAAGAAGATAACAGCTATCTGGAAAAACAAATAAGAATTACACGAAACATGAGATACAGCAATGTTAACTGTACAAGAAGATATTGTTCTTTTTTTGTGTTTGATTTTAGTATGTTCAGGTCAGATCATCAGGTGGGCTGCCTCTATGAATTCGCATATCAGTTGCACGTCCCACATGGTTCCCCTTGGCTGGCTTTGGCATACTTTGCTCTTGAAGCTAGGTTTCGTTTTGTAGTTCTAAGTATAGTGGGCAGGCCTGCTCAATGTGCTCTAGAAGATATCTGACTTGACGTGTGTGAATCTGTTATTTATTTTTGTATTCCTGAAATGGCAGTCACGAGGAAGACTCTCTGACAGTGAAGCCTGTGTTTGTCAGCAACAGTATCAGTTACCACTCCTGTGTCAACCTGAGGACCTTGCCAGCAAACAGTAAGTGTAGGTAGATAGATACTGACAGCACAGACTTGTCTTTTACTGAAAACACAGACTTGTCATCTACTGATAGCACAGATTTGTCTTCTATTGATAGCACAGATTTGTCATCTATTTATACCACAGACCTGTCTTCTACTGATAGCACAGACCTGTCTTCTACTGATAGCACAGACCTGTCTTCTACTCATAGCACAGGCTTTTCATTTACTGATAGCACAGACTTGTCATTTACTGATAGCACAGATTTATCATCTACTGATAGCAGAAACTTGTCATTTACTGATAGCACAGATTTGTCATCTACTGATAGAACAGACTTGTCATATACTGATAGCACAGATTTGTCATCAATTGATAGCACAGACTTGTCATTTACTGATAGCACAGATTTGTCATCTATTGATAGCACAGACTTGTCTTCTACAGATAGCACAGACTGTCTTCTCCTAATAGCAGAAACTTGTCTTCTACAGATAGCACAGACTGTCTTCTACTAATAGCAGAAACTTTTCTACTGATAGCACAGATTTGTCTTCTACAGATAGCACAGACCTGTCTTCTACTAATAGCAGAAACTTGTCTTCTACAGATAGCACAGACTTGTCATTTACAGATAGCACAGACTTGTCATCTACAGATAGCACAGACTTGTCATTTACAGATAGCACAGACCTGTCTTCTGTTGATAGCACAGACTTGTCTTCTACTGATAGCACAGACTTGTCTTCTGTTGATAGCACAGATTTGTCTTCTACTTATAGCCTTATAGCAAAAATTTGTCTTCTACTTATAACCTTATAGCACAGATTTGTCTTCTGTCTATAGCACAGACTTGTCTTCTGCTGATGGCACATACTTTTCTTTTGGTAGCACAGACTTTTCTTTTACTGATAGCACATACTTGTTTACTGATAGTGCAGACTTTTCTAATGATAGCACAGACTTTTCTACTGTTACCACATTATTCCTCATTTCATCCTTTTTTTGTTAGTCTCACATAATGTCCAGATTTAGTGTTGATTAATTTTTTGTTTTATTTTAATGCAGCCTTTGTGGGTCTGTCTAACTCTCCCCTGGAATACCCCTTCCAGAAAGCATTGAGAGGCAAAGACAGGTTTGGGGAGATCGTGACCAAGTACCCAACCACAGCAGGGAAAGAGCATTTAATCAGCAACCTGCTAGATCTGATGTCTGACCGGACATCGTAAGTATCTCCACCTAGATGTAAAGTAAAGGACCCCCTTCCACACCATTAGGTATATAGGGCTAGATCTGCACCTAGATGTTGGTGTTTACAGTTGAGAGGATCGAATTCTGTGGTTTAGAGGTTAGTGAATGCGGTTAACAGTTTTATGATCCTCGGGTACTGTGGTTCATTCACCATGATGGACAGCGAAAAATCTGTTCTCATTATTTTCAGACAATGGTATGAGAGTCACACCGTGGAAGAGATTAAGGCCTCACCACTCTATTATTCTCAGAGACAACAGTGGTGTCTTTAACACTTCATTGTGAAGACGGCACAGAAGTACATACCATATTTCCAGGCTTCTGTCTGCGAAAGAACCAGTTGTATGCTGAGAGTGGTGCACAAAGCACAAGCTCTGTAGCTTCAGTGGAAATCCCTGGAATTCTCCATAAAAATGTCTTTTGTGAACTGATGGTTGCATCAGTGAAGGAAACCAGGAAATTCATTGCACAAAGGAAGCAGCTTGACCACTTCAGTGTAAGCCCCCCAAAGGTGTCAGTGTTTTATTTGCACATGCAAGAGCTCAAAGAAATCAACAACTCAAGCAAGTAGAATTATCAAGTATCTAGGGAGTATAGTATCATATAGTGGGAAAATGGAAGAAAGGATAAAATGCAAATGTTGAATCAAGAATCGACATCACGGCACTCAGGACACCGCCATAAGGCTCCGTCCACATCTCCAGCAGCAAGCGAAGAGTTAAAATTCCAATGGTACCAGTAACTGTCTGATTGTATCAACAACTCAAGCAAGCAAAATATTCAAGTATCTAGGAAGCATAGTACCATGCAGTGGAAAAATTGAAGTATGGATAGAATGCAAATGTTGAATGTTAAATCAAGAATCCACCTCAGAGCACTCGGGACACCCCCATAAGTGCTCCGTCCCCATCTCCAGCAGCAAGCGAAGAGTTAAAATGGTACCAGTAACTGTCTGATTGAATATCTGTCTCACCTTTTCCCTGAGTGTTGAGCGTCAGCCAGATCCCCTTGTAACTCCTTGCAGAACCATTCTCCTCAGATCGTAATGATCTATCTGTTCCTCGGCACTGTTCACTCGCTCCCGGAGGGCCCTCACAACATCCAGCTTGTTCACCACCAAGTGCTGAATGAAAATGTAATAAATAAAATATAATAATTTGATAAATGTCACCAATTTTGCAGAACACTGTGTAACATTTGATGCCAAAAGAATACTGTTCAATATATTATTTTAATCAACATTGTGTTACCAGCGTGCCAAACATGGGCATTAATAGCAACAAAAAACATAAATATTTCAGCAACAAAAATGAAATGTCTGCGGCGAATTCTAAACGTAGTTAGAAGAGACAGGATTGGAAATGATGATATCAGGAAAGAAATGGGACAGAACTGGTACTGAATTACATCAAAAGACAAGAGATCAAATGGTTCAGACATGTTTCAAGGCTTCTACAAGATAGTGCACCACAGGGATGTATAGACGGATTATTCAAGGCCATAAATACCAACATCTATGCAGCACATACTGATGCCTCTTCAACACCTGACGCTGAAAGGCAGGACAGAATTGGAGATGAAGAAGATGAGCTGAGGCGCACAGTGTCTGCCTCTTAACTCTTCTTATGCTAAGCAGCACACTTTGTTTGGCAAACAAAACCAGTCTTAAAAAGTTAGGTAAAGGACCCTTTTCCACGCCTTTAGGCGTGTTGGGCATATAGGGCTAGACCTATATTTTATAGACCAGTCGGCACATGTTGGGTGATGCAGTCAGAATCATGCCGGCTGCTTTTATTTCCCAGGACTGCATCTGGTACCCACTCAAAGCTACATTGACCTGGGAGTCAAAGTCTTTAAAAATAAAAAAAGTAAAGGCTGAACCTACGAGCGTCTAGCAACTACACCACAGCGATTTCCAATTAGATGCCTTTTCATGACGTGCTTGTTGAAGAGGTAAAGGTAAGGTAAAGTCAGGAGATGTGAACCAGCGTCATTGCACACGGTTATAAACCATAAGTGCTCTGCCACCAGTACGGACAGCTGAAAAGAAACTGTCTGCCTGTGTCGCCGTCCGCACGTAACTCTGTAGCTACAGCGACGTTCCTCCATTTACCCCAGAGTGTCAACTCTGGTACCCATTTCCTAGAGGCTGGGTGAACCCCGGGAGCCGCCCGGTTTCAAATACCGACCATGGGCTGCAGCGAGTCGACCTGGATTTGAAAGCGAGCCTCATACCTACTGCGCTAACGCAGCTCCCAGAAGAGGCAGTGGGTCTATTGGCCCCTGCAATCTGGCAACTTTGCCTGAAAAGTATTCAATGCTCTTTGTTGACAGAATGTTGCCAGACCCCGTGTTTGAGAAGGCAGCAATGACCGCAGGCTTCAGTCCCTCTCGGATAAGCCAGCAGTCGGCTATCAATGTGTGGTGCCCAGAAAATCAGTACGGATCCAGGTTAGTTTGTGTTAACCTTCTGTTTGTTTTACGGCCATCCGCACTTACGACTACACACACACTTTCAAATGTGCGCACACACTCACACACACTCACACTTACAAATGCGCGCACACACACGCACACACATTTACAAATGTGCGCTCACACCCACACACACACACACACTTACAAATGCACACACACATGCACTCACACTTACAAATGCACACACTCACACACACATGCACGCACACACACACTCACATACACACTCATACACTCACACACACACTTACAAATGCATGCACACTCACACACACACACACAAATGCACACACACACACACACAATTGCACACACTCACACACTCATATAATCACAGCATGTAATATGTGCTCAAACTGGAAAGGCGGCATTGGGATGTGCGCTCTACCTCCCCCACCTGGATCTACACACGTGCAGATGCCGGTGTAAGAGATAACAAACAAGCAGATAGCTTGGCAAGTGAGGCACTAAGACAAGTGGGGGAAAAAAAGATGAAATCTGTGCTGTATGTACTAAACTAGCAGATAATGACAAGTCTCTGATGCTAACCTGACTACAACGACCTGCAAGAAACGCCTGGCAAAACTAAGCTATGCCATCTTTTAACTTTTTCAACCCTAACAGCGCAAATGACCACTCTGTGACCAGGAAATGTGGTTACTCTTAAAGAAGCTCAACTCACAGTGGAATGGGCCACAGAGAAAGCCGTATATCCTCAGTATTTCCTGACCCAGTGTAAACAGTTAAAGCCCAAATGATGTCATTATAAGGAATAAGAGGAAACCACATATCATGCATTGCCTGGGATCAGAAGGGTACAGTTCAAGATAGGAGGCATTGGGATCAGAAGGGTTAAGTTCAAGATAGGAGTCATTCGGATCAGATGGGTAAAGTTCAAGATAGGAGGCATTGGGATCAGAAGGAGTAAGTTCAAGATAGAAGGCATTGGGATCAGAAGGGGTAAGTTCAAGATAGAAGGCATTGGGATCAGAAGGGTTTTGTTTAAGATAGCAGGCATTGGGATTAGAAGGGTCAAGTTCAAGATAGGAAGCATTTAGATCAGAAGGGTTAAGTTCAAGATAGGAGATATTGGGATCAGAAGGGTTAAGTTCAAGATAGGAGGATTTGGGATCAGAAGGGTTAAGTTCAAGATAGGGTGCATTGGGATCAGAAGGGTTAAGTTCAAGATAGGAGGCATTGGGATCAAAAGGATTATGTTCAAGATAGGAGGCATTGGGGTCAGAAGGGTTAAGTTCCAGACAGGAGGCATTTGGATCAGAAGGGTTAAGTTCAAGATAGGAGGCATTGGGATCAGAAGGGGTAAGTTCAAGATAGGAGGCATTATGATCAGAAGGGTTAAGTTCAAGATAGGAGGTATTGGGATCAGAAGGGTTAAGTTCAAGATAGGAGGCATTGGGATCAAAAGGGTTAAGTTCAATATAGGAGGCATTAGGGTCAGAAGGGTTACGTTCAAGATAGGAGGCATTAGGATCAGAAGGGTTAAGTTCAAGATAGGAGGCATTATAACCAGCTTTATTTGGGAGAAAAGCCAGGAAAGTTACCTTTGGGTAGCTATGTCATATGAGGGTTTCTTTGGAATGTCTGGTGTGCAATGAGGTCATTCAGATAAAATAAAGTCTTTTCTTCTCTGTTATATAAGTTCTGTGAAAGTCTTTTTTCTCTTTTATATAAGTTCTGTGAAAGTCTTAACTTCTCTGTTATATAAGCTCAATGAAAGTCTTATTTTTCTGTTATATAAGTTCTGTGAAAGTCTTATCTTCTTTGGTATATAGGTTCTATGAAAGTCCTATCTTTTTTGTTATATAAGTTCTATGAACGTCTTATCTTCTCTGTTATATATGTTTTATGAAAGTCTTTTTTTTTCTGTAATATAAGTTCTATGAAAGTCTTATCTTCTCTGTTATAAAAGTTTTGTAGAAGTCTTATCTTCTAAGTCTTATCTTCTCTGTTAGAAAAAGTTATGTGTACCGTCGTACCTGTGTATACATCCACTTTCTAATAAATTTATCTTGATGAACGTCTTATTTAGACGCAAAAGTTCCTGCTTAATTTGGAATTAGGACCCAAATACTAGAACTTGGGTAAATCAAAATGAGCTATCATTGTTTACCTCTCTTGAGACAAAGCTACAACTGCCTACGAGATTCAGTACACATTATTTGGGATCAAAAGAGTCAGTTAAATATTTTTTATAATATATTGTGGTCTTTACCTTCACCTAATAACAATACGCCAAAGGATATGAGTGCTATAAACTGCTAGATTTTTATTAGAATAGTTAAATCCAACATTTTGTTACGAAAACAGCACTCAGTAAGCATTCACAATAATATAATGCTGGATTTAACTATTGAATTTTTAAAATAAATCAGACATTTTACAACACTTAAATTGTTTTCGTAACAAAATGTTGGATTTAACTATTCTAATAAAAATCTAGCAGTTTATATCACTCATATTGTTTTCCAAACAAGCTGGATTAAATTACACACACACACACACACACACACACACACATATATATATATATATATATATATATATATATATATATATATATATATATATATATATATATATATATATAAATTGAAAAGTTAAATAAAGCATGTTTTTAGGAAAACGGTTTAAATGCTGTAAAATGCCAGATTTATATTACTGAGTAGTTACATCTAGCATGTTGTTGGGAAGACATTTTTAGAGCTGTAAAATGCCAGGTTTATATTACTGAGTAGTTACATCCAACATGTTGTTGAAAAGACATTTTGAGATCTTTAAAATGCCAGGTTTACCTTAATGAGTAGTTACATCCAGCATGTGGTTGAGAAGACATTTTGAAATCTGTAAAATGCCAGGTTTATATAACTGAGTAGTTACATCCAACATGTTGTTGGGAAGACATTTTGAGATCTGTGAAATGCCAGGTTTATCTTACTGAGTAGTTACATCCAGCATGTGGTTGAGAAGACATTTTGAAATCTGTAAAATGCCAGGTTTATATAACTGAGTAGTTACATCCAACATGTTGTTGGAAAAGACATTTTGAGATCTGTAAAATGCCAGGTTTATATTACTGAGTAGTTACATACAACATGTTGTTGGGAAGACATTTTCAGATCTGTAAAATGCCTGGTTTAAATTACTGAGTAGTTACATCCAGCATGTTGTTGGGAAGACATTTTGAGATCTTTAAAATGCCAGGTTTATATTACTGAGTAGTTACATCCAGCATGTTGTTGGGAAGACATTTTGAGATCTGTAAAATGCCTGGTTTATATTACTGAGTAGTTACATCCAACATGTTGTTGGGAAGACATTTTGAGATCTGTAAAATGCCAGATTTTTATTCTTGAGTGGTTGAATCCAGCATGTTGTTGGTAAAAATAAATGATGTAGAGTTGCACAGTTTCTGGTCCTCATGCTGCAATATTTATTTTATTACTCTACTTTGATATCTGCTATTCAAAGATTTCTTGTTTTTTTTTCTGTATTTATGAACCGTAAATGGGTTTCTTTCTCTGAGATCTCTTGGTTGTTGCTTTCTCTGTTATCCAATCTAAGATTTGTTGATTTTTTTTTTTTTTTTTTTTGGTTTTTTGTTTGTTTACAGATTCATCGATTTCTTGTTTTTTCCTGTTATATACGATATCTTTTTTCTTTCTGTGTTATCTAAGATCTAGTGATTTCTTGCTTTCTCAGTTAAGTGAGTTTAGCTGTTGGCTTCTTCTGTAACTTAGAGCTTGTGATTTCTTGCTTTCTCTGTTATCTAAGATCTGGTGATTTCTTGCTTTCTCTGTTATGTAAGATCTGGTAATTTCTTGCTTTCTCTGTTATCTAAGATCTGGTGATTTCTTGCTTTCTCTGTTATCTAAGATCTGGTGATTTCTTGCTTTCTCTGTTATCTAAGATCTGGTGATTTCTTGCTTTCTCGGCTATGTAAGTTCAGCTTTTGGCTTCCTCTGTTATCTTAGAGCTTGTTATTTACTTGATTTCTCATGTCATGCATTTTCTGTTATTTAAAATATTTGTGTGTCTTGCCTTCTTTGTTATCCAAGTGCTGTGAAAGTCTTATCTTCTCTGTTATATAAGTTCTGTGTATAGTGGTACCTCGGTATATGTTCGCCTTCTCATGTCCAGCTTGGTATACATCCTGTTAAGATGCAGAATAATTTGTGGTTGAAAGTGGAAACAAGGGTCTTTAGACAGCAGAACAACAGAAGTAATTGTAATTACAAAGACAATGGACCCTGCAAAATGCAGCTTGTGTGTGTTGTCGATCAAGATGATGATGACCACTTTTTTTGATGAAAGAGTAACTTGCACTGTGACTTTGATTAAAGTGAGGAAGAGTTGCAAAGTGTTATTGACCTCACTAGTAAAATGCAGCTTAAAGTAAATTGGACAATCCTCAAGCAAGTTGATATGTTAAAGTACTTGTGTACCCTGATAAAATAACTTGACAACAGACAGAAGATGTATCAGTGAGGTTAAATGTAGAATAGCTCAAGCAAAGGCAGCATTTTGCAAAATGAAGAATATCTATGTAATCTTTCTTTGTCAATTAAGACGAGAAAGAAAATTTTCAGGAGCTATGTAAATTGTATCCTGGTATATGAAAATGAACCATGGATTATTGGTGAAAAATTATGTGTAGTGGCAGATATGTGGTTTTTTTTTAGACGATGGTGAGAATACTTAGGATACATAGAAAGAGTAATAAAGACGTCTTGAAAAAAAAAACTGACTCACAAAGAGAACTTATTGCCCACATAAGAGAGAGACAATCTACATTCTTTGGTCATGTGATGAGATGGAGAAAACTCAGGTATCTCCTGACAGTAGGAAAGTTGGAGGAGAAAAGAGGCAGAGAAAGACAGAGAGAAGAAGCTGCCCTACTTGACATCATGGCATAGAAGATCATCTGTGTAGAATTGATTGAAAGTACCTGATCC